AACCACCCTGTTAGAAAAATAAAAGTGTTTTAGCTGAAGATGACTGCTACCTTGCCAAAATTTATATTTGTGTCCCCTAGCCCTACTATTCTCATTGTTAAATATAAAAAAGATGATACACCAACATTATCAATTCCCTTTACAATCTTAAACACCTCAATCAGATCCCCCCCCTAACTCTTCTTTTTTCAAGAGGAAACAATTTGAGAGATTTCAGCCTCTCGTCATATGACAACCCCTCCATCCCAGGCGCCATTCTAGTAACCCTTCTCTGAACCCTTTCCAACAATTCAATGTCTTTCCTGAGGGATGGAGCCCAAGACTGAACACAATATTCCAATTCCCTCACCCATTGTGTGACAATCTATATGATTGTCTTCTCTGAACCCTTTCCAACAATTCAATGTCTTTCCTGAGGTAGTGGAGCCCAAGACTGAACACAATATTCCAAATGTGGCCTAACCAGTGACCTGTACAATGAAAGTATAACCTTTTTAGACTTGTATTCAATATTTCTATGGATACAACCTAAAATCCTATTTGCCCTAACACTAGCAACAGCACACTGCTTGGATGATTTTACATACTGATTGACTATTACACCAAAATCCCTTTCCTTTGTAACACTATTAAGGTTATTCCCATACAAATTATACTTATAATTCAAATTTTATAACCCACATGCATTATCTTGCATTTATTATAATTAAAACCCATCTGCCATTTATTTGCCCAACTCACTAAATGATCTAAATCCGTTTGTATATCGGCAGCATCCTCTTCACAGCTAACAACACCCAAGACCTTAATATCATCTACAAATGTAAGTAATTTATTGATTATTCCTTCATCTATGTCATTATGCAAATCAAAAAGAGCAAAGGTCCTAAGAGTTAGCCCTGAGGTACCCTACTTGTGACATTAATCCAGTCTGACTGAACTCTATTTGTAACAACCCTCTGCTTTCTTCTATCCAATTTGCTAACTTATCCCCCACACCTATAGAGCTAATTTTTTTTACAAGCCTTTTATGTGGCACCTTGTCAAGTGCTTTCTGAAAATCCAGATACACCAAATCTACACCTTCACCTCATCTATATAAGCAGTAACCTTTTCAAAGAATATTAAAATATTTTTAAGGCAAGATTTTCCCTTAGTGAAACCACATTGACTATCCAATAAAATTCTAAACTTTGTTAAATGACTTTGCAAAGCATCTTTTAACAGACTTTCTAAAATGTTTCCCACACCTTGTCCATTTTCAACAACCACAAGAAGTGCATTTTTGTAATATCTTAAAAAGGACTATATCCAACCTTTGTTTTAACTAGAAATGATGTTTATAATAAAACATAGTTCATTGTAAATCATTAAATTTGTCTTAATTGATGAAAAGTTCATTCAAAATTAAAGTGACCATCTTACCCCCTCCCCTACTCTTTCCTTGAAAAGCTATGTTATGTGTTGTTGTAACAGTTTCCAGTTAATGCAGGGACCAATATATTACATTCCCAAATTCATAAGGAATTTAACTTTGCTTGAGGAATTTAGTTTTTTTTTGTTGGCTATCCCAAACGGGAATGTATGGTTCATCTGTATTCCTTTAGTTATGAACAATGAAAGTAACGATATTTCATGTATGCCAAATCTTCCTTTGGCCAAACAATACAAATGTCTAAATTAAAAAATAGCTTGTAACAGTATTAGTTTACTTTAGTTTTGAATTGAAATATATATATATATCCAGTCAACAACTATTTTCACCTCACTAATGACAACAGTCATTGCACAAACATGTCTTCTGACATTTCAGTGCTTGACATGTATCCGCAGTAATATTCTACAGGTCAGAATGTCAAAATGTGTTTGTCTTATACTTGATGGTAGTCAGTAGTTCGTGAAATGTTACTACACCAAATCACGATATCATAATGTTGTGGCCAATTCTATTCAAATGTTTTTCTTATTCAAAAGAACTTTCATGGTCTTAGTGACTAGGCCAGAACATAAAATGAGTTTCATGTGAGGAAAATACTGATATTGCAAAAGACCAGAACAAGTACATTTCTTGTGCTACTACCTCCCATAATGAAGCCACAATGGTGAAATCTTTCCTGAAATATAGATTTTTTTATCATTACCTGGAGGTTGTTTTTTCCAACTTTATTATCAAAATGTCTAAATCCCTCAACTCCCTCTATTATGCACTACAAATTCTAAAAAGCATCAAAGTTAATATTTGTGAAAAAATAATAATAATTGAGCCTAAATATAGCCTTTCACATCCACATACCTATCTAACAAAACTTTAAGAGAATCAAAACTAACAGTGTAAACAACATAACCTGGCAAAGCATTTCACAATCTTATAACTAGAACTTAAAATATTCATTTTGTCTGCATCCAAACTTTTAAACCTTAAATCTACTATCTCAAATATTCAAGTTTGTATTCTACTATTTTCATTCCACCACTTAAATATATCATCCATCAGAAACCTGTTCAAACCCCTAACAATTTTGAATACTTGAATTAAGTCTTCTTTAATGCAAACAAATGTAAAATTCTGAGTCTTCTTGCAGGTATAATTCTAGTAACCCATACCTTTCAACGGATTGAAATCCTTACTAAAATAAAGGTAGCAGAACTGAACATAAAATTCCAAATGAAACCTAACCAGCATGACAGGTTCAACTTCAAAATTCTTATAAACACAACCAAGAACTCTGTTTGCTCTTTTCACTACAGCCAAACACTCAATACTGGACTCCAGAGTTTTCACAGGTATTAATATAAGAGATATGGTATTACATGAACTGTTGTCTACAGTGTGGGAGATATCTGTAGAGAAATCAGCTGGTAAAGAATTGCAACACCAGTAATGATTAATACTTACTTTAGGACACCCATTGCACCATTTCGTGCTGCAACATGTAACACTGTATCTCCCGACTTCTCGTGATAAACATTTGTCCATGGAATTGGGTCATACTCCTTGTTCTTTAATATAAACTGGTGAAGCTCTTTAGGGTTATCTTCCTGAGCTAGATGAAGCAGCCTGAAGAAAAACTGTGATCTTCTCATAGTTTACTTCATTGAATTACAAAAACTCAATGCTCATCAATGATTTACTGTGGTATCTGAGAAAACAAAATTAATGTCAGCAGTTATTCTGTTAGAAAATATAAGCAGCACATATGAAATTCTTAGTAAATAATTTTATTTGAAAATTAAATAAAAATTATGTTAAATCTTGTCAATGAAGGTAATACTTTCAATGGAAAATTTTTACACACAATTTATCTTTTATAAGGCTTTAGTTACAAATTTCTATCACGCCATTACTACAAGTTTTATATTTTATCACGACAAATTTTATTGCATATAAAATGAGTTTTAATTTACCTTCAGAACGAACATATTAAATATGTTTTACTCAAAGGCTGTATATTTCTGATATATGTGACACTAAAACATATAAAAAAAATTAATTAAACTATACATGAATACCAATACCATTATAATATAATAAATAAAAACCCTATAAGTATACCCTGAGCGTTTTCGAAAGCACTCGGGTTATAGGGTTTTTATTCATTTCTATCAAGACTTCTTGAACCTACGTGTTTTTCTAACATCATGAAAATACCATTATAATTACATTCAAGGTCTTATATTTGTTTTATTTATGCTAATTTAAAAGTTCCTGTGCGCAAGTAATCTAAAGCCTTTAGTCTAAAACTAAGCCTAATCTATTAATCATTCTTGGTCATCAAGTTGATGTATCATTAATCTAACGAAATGTTTTCATCAAAATTAATGTTGTTAAGACAACATTTCCGACCCTTTGCAATGCCATATGGCATGCTCTCTCTCACGATGGCACAGTTCAAAGATTATTCTAATAATTATGTGATAATATTATGTACTTATGTCATTTATATATATAGTTTTTAACAGTCCTTACCATAAAAGATTATCAAGCTCAGTTAACCCATTAATTTTTATGCTACAATAATCATAACTATATTGTTTCACATGTAATCGGTAAAATTAAAAAATAAAATTGTTAGAATACCATACTTTCATAACGCTGCTGGAGGGCGTTTTACACACTTTGTAATTACAATAGGAAAATCGCTCGGATGTGGGTTCTGGAGATTTTCACACCGAATGTGACATTTTTCACTCTTTTCAACTAAATTGTTCTAATAACATAAAATAACGTTTTGGGACAATGTGGGACCTATTAGTCCATCTCAACTGTCCCACTCTCTAAACTAAACTAAAACTATTTGATATATAAATTTAAACACAAAAAAAACTTAAAGCCAGCCCATATAGTTATCAAACTTTCTCTTAAACTCACTAAGATTAACAGCCTCTTCAACATCCGAAGGCAACCCATTCCAAAGGCCAACCAACCTG